GTGGTAAAAGGCTGATTTGTCAGTGGATGCTACCTGGGCCTCCATTGTTAGTGAGGCATCCAGGAGCACTCCCAAGCTCCAAACCTCTGGCACTGGCACCAATGGCCCCACCAATGGGCTGCCCCTGCTCAGGCAAAGGACCTCTGTCTTCATCAGATTCAATTTTATTTGGCTCAGTCTGAGCCAACCAGCCACAGCTTGCAACAGCCAGTCCAGATCTTCCAGTGTAGAGTCAAATTGGCTGCCCAACAACAGATAGAGCTGGGTGTCATCCGCATACTGGTGACATCCCAGCCCATGCCTTCCGGCAATCTGGGCAAGGGGGTGCATGTAGATGTTAAATAACATTGGGGACAGCACCATCTCTTGGGGCACTACACAAATCAGTGGGTGCCTTTGGGATAGCTGCTCCTCTGGCACCACCCTTTGTCCCGGACCCTGAAGGAAGGAAGCCAGCCATTGCAAGGCAGGCCCCTGAACTCCAGTTTCGGTGAGGTGGTGGATCAGTAACTGATGGTTGGCCGTGTTGAACGCTGCCAACAGATCTAACAACAACATCACTGCCAATCCACCCCCATCCAGATGCCTCCGGAGGCCATCGATGAGGGCGACTAGTGCCATCTCCATCCCACGGCCTGGGTGGAAACTGGACTGGAAAGGATCTTTTTTTCCCCAAAAACAATTTTATTAATTTTTGTCAAAGGAAAGGATCTTAGTTTAGTTTTATTATTACGATTTTAAAACCAACATACAGAGTAAGCATAATATGTGAGGGCAGAAAGGATCTAGAATGGAAGTGTCATCCAAAAGGTCTGTAGCTGAATTGCCATGGCCCTCTGCCAAATAGGGCAGATTGGAGACTGGCCGGTAATTAGCCAATTCGGCCAGATCCAGAGATGGCTTTTTCAGGAGGGGACAAACCACAGCTTCCTTGAGTGGCCTCCCTTAGGGCATCTCGAAACCCATCATGGCCAGCTTTAATTAGCCATGATGGGCACGGGTCAAGGCAGCACGTGGTAGGGCATATGGTTAAGAGCAGTTTGTCAACTTCCTCCAGGCTGAGCGGACTGAAATAATCCATAACCTGACTAGAAGATGTGCATGGAGCCTTGAGTTCACTTACTGTCTCAACTGTGGTAGGGAGGTCACAGCGGAGCGACAGGACTTTATCTGCAAAGTAGCTCACAAAGGCCTCACAGCCAGTGTCCAATTCCCTAACATTTGGTCTGCCTTGTGGCAGAACAGTCATAGACTGAATTATTCTAAATAATTGAGCTGGGCATGAGCTCGCAGATGCAATCATGGCCATGTAGTACTCTCAGTAGCTTTGAGTACCATCTCATAGGATCTCATAAACATTCTATAAGCGCACCGCTACTGTCTCTCTAGCCATCTTAGCCTTTGCTTCATCAGCCGCAACTCTTGGGTAAACCAAGGAGCCAGCAAAGAGTGAGGACATCGGGGAGCAATCTCATCAATGGCCACTGTGAGTCAGCTGTGCCAATCCTCCACAAGCTCATCTAACAAGCTGCCAGGGGACATCAAATCTCGCAGGGCCATTTGAAGCCACATAGGGTCCATTTGGCTCTGCGGGCAAGCTGAAATCGGCTCGCCACCCAAACAGGGTCAGGGTGAAACATTCAGATGGGCCTTCAGGGCATGATGGTCTGACCATGGCACTGCTGAGGCAGTGACCCAGTCCACTTGACCCCTGCCACGAAGATCAGATTGAGCATGTGTCCAGCCCGGTGAGTCCCAGCACCACCACCGATGACATTAGGTCCATTGCCTGAGTGGAGGCCACTTCATCCGCATGGACATTGAAATCACGCAGGACAATCAGTCTAGGGTGTTCCAATGCCCAGCCCAACACAGCCTCCACCAGGGATGGCAGGCTGCTGGCCAGTTCTTTTTTCATCAAAAAACCAAAGATAAAGTAAAAGCAAAGATAAGCCTCACCTTACAGTACTTATGTTTTGTTGTCATAATTTTTACTTTATGTTTGGTTTAATACGCTTTTGCTGTTTTATTATCTGCAGTATGTGATTATTTTTTTAAAAGGGAATCTTTTTTTGCCTTAAATTTTGTACAATAATGAAAACTGTCCTCTATTCATTAAAAAATCAATAAAAAGGTGTGCAGTCTTTTTATCTGGGTCACATCTAACTATGGGGATGGTAGGGGCCAGATACTAATAATTTTTAATGAAGTTCTAGTTTTACATTTAAAACACTAGCTTATCAGTAGGCTGACATTAAATTGTTCAGTAATTTGTCAATTTTTTGTCAGTATTTGGTCAGGTTTTTTGGAATTTTGGTCAGTAAAATCAGTGTTTTTTACCCTCTGACTAGTTTCCACCCTAAATATCTATAACAGTGAAAATCTACAAGTAAGTTATGTAGAATATCTTACAAATATCATGCATGCTATCTGTGTGCTCACCTTAGAGTGAAACAGAATAAAAGAATCAGGTCGCTAAACAGTACTGCTAGCTTCCCTTAAGGAAGAACCATATAGTTAACTCTGTAGGAAACAATATGTGAGTGACCAGTTTTTCCAGGAAAAGCAAAGAGTGAATGCTTTCAGGAACAAAAATTACGAAGTGGAAATAAAGTTCAAGGACATCATATTTCCCTCTATTTAAACTCTTTATTCCATTCCCAGAAGAGCTACTTGACTATGGACACAGTTTTGTTTTTTAATTAATTTATTGAGTAGCTAACAGTGCAGTCAAGGAAGAGAAAGTACAAATTGGTGAGATCCAAAATCTTTCTCAGGTTTTATAGAATCATGTTAGTACTGGTGATAAGTAAAGAATTTAAAATAGTTAAATACCTCAGAACTGCTGTTAAATATTAGTAAAATGGGGGCTCTGTTTTTAGTCATTTCAGTTTACTTGCCTATTCTAGAACTGCTTCTTGTCCTGAGAAAACAATGTTGTCTGTGATTTCATAAGTGTGCTAGTTGAAGTGTGTAGGGACTTCGCTCCATTTAACCACAAACAATTAGTGTAATTCCTTGATTTCACCAAACAATTAGTACACTATTATGTCTGCAGTGGGATTGAGTAGATTCCCCCTGTTCCATTCCATTATTATTGCAGAATTGTGTTCTGCATTGCACTCTCCTCTTCCTTAATTGCACATTAACTAGGAGAATATCTAAAATTAACTCAGGAACTGGAGCACACACCATTTACTGTCCCTTTCAGTTCCTTCCCATGCTACTGACATACAGATGTGTAGTGATAAAACCTTGAAGAGACTATATATATGTTTGTATCAGAAATATTTTCTATGGTCTTCTGCTCATGCACATGTGCATTTTTGCACAATGGTAAAATACCAGAAAAATAATCTTGATTCAGTTATACATACAATCACATCAAGATTGCTTTTGTTTGTGTTTTATCAATGTACACTTGTTCACTGGCAATGTGGGAAAACACTGAGCACATGGAACTACAAGCTATGTCAAAGCACACAGGCATACCATTTTGCTCACACATCCACAGCTCTGCACTCCCAAACTGAACATGCTTACAAGCCTTTGTCTCCTAGTACTAGGGTTGCCACGTCCTACCTTTAGTTGCAGCGGGGGAGTCCTGGTCCCTCTTCACTATCTCCACTATCATTCGAGAGAAAACTATAGAGTTTTCCCTCAAATGATAGAGTGTCCCTCCACAATGTGCCCAACATGTTCCCGGTACTTTGGGGGTGGGGTTTCCCCCAGAGGCCCGATTGGGCCGGCGGGTAACAGACCCATCGAGCAGGGGTTTCCCCACCCCCCAAGGGACCTGGCAACCCTACCTGTACTCATTGCAGCAAAAGAGGTGGTGTGATCCTCCTCTTTGATTACCATAGCTGATTTTATTATATAAAGACAGCAGACCGTTAGATTATTGAAAAATAGCATTCTTGGACTCCATCTGTATTAACTACTTCTGCCATGTGATGATCCTTCTAATGAAGTAGTTTTCAACTTTTCTAGATCCAGAACCTTCTTTTAGCCAAAATTTACAATATAGAAACCATTCCTTAATTTGTGCTGCTTGTATGACCTATCATAAGTAAAACTGTGACCCAGTTGCGACTCCTGACACACTCATGGAAGACCAACAAACTACTAACTAGATCCCCAGTAAAATGATTCATATTGCAATGTAGATTTTATTTTGGATGAAAAGTGTGGGTGTTGTACAGCAAAGTTATCCAATAGATAGTGTTGCCAACTCCAGGAGATACGAAAGTGGAGCTGGTGGGATTGGGGAAGTGGAGGGATCACATCAGGCTGTCATGCGATAGAGTCCATCTTCCAAACCAGCCATTTTTTCAAGGAGAACTCAGGGCTATTTTGGGGCAGGAACGCACAGGAACAGAGTTCTGGCTGGCTTCAGAGTTGACCACGCCTACAGCCAAAACCTCTATACATGCTTGGGTTCCCTGCCACCAGCTGTGGGGCACCTGGAGAGGAATGGGCAGGGAACGCAGGCATGTCTGCCTGCCTGCCCTTCCCAGCGCGTTGGCTGTGGAGGGGAAGGGGAGGTGAGTAGACATGCCCTCCTTTTCTCCTGAGTCTCTCCACTTTTGTGGAAAAACTCATTGAAGGGGGGTGGATTTAAATGCCTGAGTTCCCTGCCCGATCAGGCAGGAAATCCAGACATGCTTGCCCTTTGTCAGGGGGTGTGGCATATGCAAATGAGTATTTTGCTATTATGCTAATTATGCTAAGGAGTTCCTGCTGGGCTTTTTCTACAAAAAAAAAAAAAGCCCTGGGGGAACTGATCTCTGAACTCTTGGGATCAAATGTAATTCCAGGAGATCTCCAAGCCCTACTTTGAAGTTGGCAACCCTATCAGTAGCTTGGATTAATTTTTTGTTTTAGTGAAATATTATGTAAATGACTGAATGTATTCCTGCAAGTAAAATGACTGAATTATTCTTCCAATATATGTGTTACTGCAAGTCTACCATATCCTAAATTTTTTCTCCTTTTTCCAGATGGCTACACAACAGATGATATTGAATTTTACTGGCGTGGGGAAGATAATGCAGTTACAGGAGTGAGAAACATTGAACTGCCACAGTTCTCCATTGTAGAGTACAAACTTATCTCCAAGAAAGTTGTTTTCTCAACAGGTTTGTGAAAGGATAATATAAAGGAAGGCTTTGGTTTATCTGTTGAAAAGCTGTCTATAAATAGTTCAGGATCTTAAGGAATATTTAAATAATCAGATAACCGAAAACATGGCAAATAAGTTGTGATGAATGAGAGGCAAGGGGGCCAGGAGGTTCTGTGATAGTTATGGTGACGGAAGGAGACACTGGCATCTCTGTGACTGAGAGGATGTAGGAAACATGTTCTCTGCTGGATAGAGAGCCTCCTTTACAGTTAACAGAGAAAACATGTTATTTTTATGTGTTAACACCTCTTGATTGGCGGGTCTAGGTTTTCATGGGCTTGAGCCCAGGACCTGACATCTAGATGGTCCAAGGTCTGTGTAGTACAGATGGGGCAGGGGCTGAAAAGGGGAGCTGTTCCTTTGTCTTTGTTCATTTTGAAGTGTGTTAGGGGCGCTAACCATGAAGGACAACAGGGGAATTATGTTTTACCATGAAAGATGACAGAGGGGAATGATGCTAAAGAGGGTTGCAGATGCACTGGGGGTATTGTGCAGCTAACAAAGACTAGATAGACCATGGACTGTAGGCACATAGTAACTTTCCTTTTGTTTATTTTGCATAGTGCACTTTAGGTCTTTTCTTGTAGTACCTTAAGTTTGTGCCTTATAGGAATAAAGTTGTGTAATTGGAGAGAGTCTGCACAAGTCCTTACCCACTTGCCTTTGCTATGTGGCGTGCTACAGTAATACACCCCTGTGGATTTTACAGGCTGGATTTTACCCGAAGTAGTGGCAGTGATAGGGAGGGCAAAATGGTAGCTAGTCTGCCCCACAAGGTTACTGAGTTCACAACATAAGTGCATGACGATTTCTGTTCAAAACTAAATATGCAGTCGTAGTTACACTGAGTGTACAAATACCTCTGGTTTTGAACAGTGGAGCACTTTTTAAAAATAACAGTGATAATTCATTGGTGTTAGGTCTGAGCTACTGATCTCTTTCCTGTCCTCTGCAGCAATTCAGTTCAGGACAAAAGCAATCAACTTCATTCACCCACTTGCATTATTGAAACATACACAGACCCTTTCAGGTGCTTAATGATGCCCTGTGGAATAGAAATTAGCTCCCTTTCCTCTCTGCTACACAGATATCCAATCTGAGTCCAGTGAGCTATTTTTATTTTTGACAAACAAATCTGCAACAGAAAGATTAATTTCTGTGACTGATAGTGAAGAAACAAGCTTTCAGACTGATTGAGTCTGATTGTGGTTATTTCTTTCTTGTGTCACTCATTTGTTAGAACAGCTGTCATCTCTAGGGTTTCCTTAGAAGTAGAATTACCATAATTGTGTTGGAGGTCCCTCTTTTATACTCAGGGCAACCATGAAATAGTGGGAACAAAATGTTAGATCTGTGGTCATCCTGAGGGTCATACATTGTTTTCCTGTGATATTCGGACTGGAACTAAGAGGGGGTGTATTGCCAAGGGGCAACAGGTGCTTTTCTACTGAGGGATTCAGACACAATAAGCACACAAGTGATGAAGCACACAAGTGGTTAATAAAACAGACTTTCATTGAAATCTCTCTGGTAAGGTGCAGAAAATAAATTAACAAGACATAAAGGAACCGTGTCCTTGCACCCCTTCAGCTGACTGGGAACCCCAAAGCATGAAAGCAGGTAGACTCCTAGAACTGGCTAGTGTGCTCGACACTGCTTTGTGGTCCAGCCTAAGACAAAGTTCAACAATAGAGTGGTTGCCAGGAACTTACATGCTATTTTAGGATCACATGATTTTCACCTGCCTGCATGCGTGTGTTTATCCCATAACTGACCTTGGAGGGGAGTAATACATCCCAAGTGCCCCATACAGATACTCCCTACATTACAATAGCAGGTGCATCATCTTAACATATAAACAACCCACTCCCGAAGTGTAATAACAAGGGATAAGGAAGAAAAACATGTTTTTAGGAGAGAGCATTTTCCACACCAGTAATCTCTTCTGGTCCAACCCACAGGGGCAGATAGAGAAACTATGGGTCACCATTAACTGCCACCTAAAGAGCAGTTGTAATTCTGAGTGATCTCCAGTCCTCCCCTGGAGATTGGAAACAATGGTTTCCCAGGAGGAAATGGCTGATTTTGAGGGTAGAGTCTATGGCATTGTACCTGTCTTAGAAGCAGCAACCCTATCTCCTTCCCAGCCAACCATCAACATACCATTATCTACCCCTCTGACTTCAGCTTTCCATCTCCCCTCCACACATGGAGCCTCTACCTAGGAAAAGTAGTCTTTCTTCTCCTCAATGGGAACCCAAGCAGGAGGAGAAGTAACTCAGAGTCCACCCTTAAAAACAGCCCTTTTCTCCAGGGGAACTGATCTGTGCCGTCTGGAGAGCAGTTTTAATTCTGAGTGATCTTCAGCCCTCACCTGGAGAATGGCAGCAAGGAGGAAATGGCTGGTTTTCTTTGATGTTTTCCCCCAGGGAGAAATGGCTGGTTTGGAGGGTAGAGTCTATGGCATTGTACCTGTCTAAGGTCCCACTCTTACTCAAACCCCACTGTCTCCAGGCTCCAACCCTCAAATGTCCAGGAATTTCCCAACCCAGAGGTGGCAACCCTATCTCCTTCCCAGTCAACCATCAACTTACTGTTATCTGCCCCTGTGACTTCAGGTTTCCATCTCTTCCCCCCTCCCTGTATCCTCTACCTAGGAAGAGTACAGTCTTTCTCCACAGTGGTGACCAAAGCAGCTCACATCATTCTCCTCTCCCCCTTGTGATTTGCACAACCCTGTAAAGTAGGTTACACTGAAAGTCTGTGAGTGGTCTGAAATCACCCAATCAGCTTCCACAGGAAAAACCTGGGTCTGAAAGACCCTGCTCTGAAGCGCTAACTGCTACATCACACTGGCCATCTTGGGGGGGAGCACCTTAGCAGGGTATAATGACACAGAACTCACCATTTTCTCCAGGGGAACTGATCTCTGCCACCCACCCCTCAAATCTCCAGGAATTTCACAACATGGAGTTGCCAACCCTATCTCCTTCTCAGCCAACCATCAACCTACTGTTATCTGCCCCTTATCTTTACCATCTGGAGAGCAGTTTTAATTCTGAGTGATCTCCAGCCCTCACCTGGAGATTGGCAGCAATGATTCCCCAGGAGGAAAAGTACAATCTTTCTCCACAGTGGAGACCAAAGCAGCTTACATCATTCTCCTCCCCCCCTTTTGATCTGCACAACAACCCTGTGAGGTAGGTAAGGCTGAAAGTCTGTATCTGGTCCAAAATCACCCACTCAACTTCCACAGCAAGCACCTGGGTCTAGCAGATCCTGCTCTGAAGTGCTAACTTCTACGCCGAGGGTAGCCAGCCTCCAGGTGGAGCCTGAAGATCGCCGAGTATCACAACTGAACTCCAGACAACAGATCTTTCCCCCGCCCCCTGGAGAAAATAACTGCTTTAGAGAGTGGACTCTATGTCATTCTATTCAGCTGAGCCCTCTCCCCTCCCCAAACTCTGGCTTCCATAGATTCCACCACAGAATATCCAGGAATTTCCCAAAGTGGAGATAGCAGCCCTAGTCAGGACTGGCCCCAATGAGTTCCCCACAAAGGCTGGAAAGGGCTTGCTTCCCTTGCCTTTGTACTGACAGATCCAAGCTTGGTTGCCTAGCAACAGCCACTGAGGGAAAAGATAGTCTCACAGGAGCCAAGAAGGAGAAGTGTCTTCATCAGGAGAGACAGCTGTTTTGATAGTTAATTCTGTGAGGGAAGAGTGACCAGGCTGGCAGTGGGTGGGGGAGAGGAACAGATCCATGCGAGTATTCTTGAAAGGCAGTTGATGGGCCAATGGCTGATGGAGCGCACTGCACAGGCAAGCTGGAAATGGCCGATACGTAAGGGAATTATATATATAGGATAATGTGAATTAATTTTCAGTCTTGGCATTCTGGGTATTTTCAGAGTTGCAGTAACCCAGTGGAATTGACAAGAGGTCATAAACTGGAAAGATATTTTGGAACCACTGGGCAGCTTAGTTTTATACATGTATGTATGCTAACAAAATGACAATTGTCCTGGGTTATTTTGAGCAGATCTGAGAAACTGTAACTTGTTTAATGGGGAGTTACTTTGCCACCATAAAAGTCAGTGGGTTGTAAATTAACATAATTTTACAGGGTTGCAGAATTTTTAAATGTTCCTTTTTGTTGTAGGTTCCTACCCAAGGCTGTCGCTGAGCTTTAAGCTTAAGAGAAACATTGGCTACTTCATTCTGCAGACCTACATGCCTTCCATTCTGATCACAATTCTCTCGTGGGTTTCATTCTGGATTAACTATGATGCTTCAGCTGCAAGAGTGGCTTTAGGTAGTTATTTTGGCTCTACTTATTACCTCTCAGGATTACGTTCTGGGAACACATTCTAATAGACCAGTTTAAATACAGTATTTTCAGTTAACTAAATTTAGCCCAAATTATTTAAAAGGATTAAAAATATTTTCAGCAACACGTGAGGTTTTTTGGTGGCTTTTAGCTTTGTTGCACGCTCATTAAGTTGCATTTACAATTCAGCTAACATTTTCAGCCATTTCATCTATGAATTAGCTAGCTGTATAATGATTGCGACTGAAATGAGTTCTGGTAACACATGTGATCTTGTAATTTATTGCTCTGTTTTTTCTCTAATAAGAGCAAACATTACTTTTGTTTGCTAATCACAGAGTTCCAACCACAAGCCCAAAGGGTTAGACAATATTATTGTATTTGCTTCTCAGGTATAAATTAGATAACTTTGTAACAGGTATCTAGCCATGCAGCAAATAAGACCTGTTCTGCTTACTTTCATTTCAAATAATGTAAGCAAAATAATTAGTACCTTTAATCCTGAGAACACACTAGTCACTCAGGTGGCTTGTTTACACAATAAAAGTTCAAGTACTGTTTTCTTTGCGCATAACAGCTACACAGACAAGGAATTCCAGGGCCTTCAACCACATAGTCTTGTTCACAGTCCTAAATCTGTACAGGTAGTATAGAAATATACTAATTAGGGGCGTGCAAGAAAAAAAGTATTTTTTTTTCAGATTCAGGTATATTGGACCCCAAAAATATTCCCTAATCCCAATACCAGCATGGTATTCGGATTCAGTAAATATTCGGGAATCCTGAATTTTTTCAGGTCCATTATACCCTATGGAGACCATTATCGTCAATGGCAAATCTATCCTGGGGTATATTCAGTGGTCGGGGGGGGGGTTTGAGGTAGAGGCATTGTCACAAATGCGGTACTAGGCCAGGCAGAAGCAAGAGAGTCCAAAGGCAGTCCAAAGTCAAAACCGTGCAAGCAGCAATACCGAGAGACCAAGTCCAAATCACCAACCGTTAGAGTAGTCATTAAAGCCAGAGTCCAAAGAAGTCAGAAGCCAGGGAGTCAGAGGTCTGAGGTGTAGGTCAGGAGCGGAGTCGTACAAGCCGAGGTCAGGAGCCGAGAAGTCAAGACGAGGAGCAGGAACTGGAACACGGGTGGTAAGGTGCAGAGCTTCGTCCACAATGACTAGTTGCTAGCACAACTAGTTGGCATGAGTGCGAGAGCAGGCTGTTGGTCATTAGCACGCCCTGATTGTGTCCCGACTCCTGCTAGTACTCAGGGCTAAAAGAGCGCCTACTACACATCCATGCATCCCGCCGCCAGGATGCCATGTCCCGTCAGTGTTGTTCCGCAGACGAGATACCGGTGGGGGTGAGTCAGGGGGCATGTTGCTCCGGCATGAGTCTGCTTCAGCTGCTTCTGGAGCAGTTTCCGTGGCTTCAGGTGTCGGGTTGTCAGGAACCGGGAGCTCATCCCCAGCAGTACTTAGGTCTTCTGCTGGGCCCAACTGCTCATCCCCAGCAGTCCTTTGCTCTTATGCTGGGGCCAAGTGCTCAGGTGCAGCAGCAGCCGTGACAGGCATCAAACTTGCAGTGTAGCTGCTGGAGCCTCTCCTCAAAGGAACCTCCAAATTTCAAAAAAGATTGGAACAGGGGGTCCAATTCTATGGGCACCCAAAGAAGGTGCTGCCATCCTCTATTGTTTCCAATGGGAGGGGGGAATAGCAAAGCAATACAAGCGCAACAGAACATCCCAGAGAATCTCTTCAGAAGAAAGTTAAGTGGGGGGAACATTTTTGCAAGGCCAGCAGCACAACCAGTGCGATGTGCCTAGCAGAACCAGTGGCACTATGGCAGTGCCAAAACCCAACAGGACTAAGGTCAGATCTGAGAATCTCTGAAGTGGAAACTGAGACGGGGGCATTTCTGCAAGGACAGCAGGAACAGTGCAATGTACTAGTGCTGCACTCCTACCAGGGTTCTGTAGAGGTATTTTGATGCAGATGGATTCAGAATGGCAGCGGGGAGATTGGTGGGGCATTTCTGTGCCAATCCAACTGGTTAATGGCCCTAGTACTTCTTTCTAGTCTCATTTTAATTTTGGGATGAGTGTTTCACCCCAGATTCCCAGCACAGACTGACAGAGGATGCAGGCACAAGTATGTGCTCACTTCAGTCACCCACAAAGTCCAGGAACTCAGTAGCTGAACAGTGGCAAGTTGACCTACAGGAAGACCAACTGCTTAAATGTCCAAGGGAGCAGGCATGAGTGATGTGAGCCGACAATGTTACCTGCATGGGGAAAACACCTGCTCACTCTGCACACTTGTTGAAGGACATGAGAGGAGCTTCTGGGCTACAGCAGAGAGATCCATCCAGACCACCTACTTGATGGCCCAGTAGCTCAGCAGACTAGTGGCCTGTGACTTGTAGGGCTCCACAAGGTACTCCTTCACCATTGCAGCCGCCGTGTCCTGTCTCATGTGCCTACCATCCCAGAGGAGCCGAGTATCTGCCCAATGAGTGTAATCTCACATGTCATTGTGGTGGTAGCAGCAGGGGGGACACTGCTTAGTGGGGGAGGTGGGGGATGAACAGCAGTGGAGCTGCTTTCACCCCCCTCTTCCTCCACTCGCTCCACCGTGCCCTTCTTGGGCTGCATGCGCTCAGCTCACTAGGAATGAGCTCGTTGGCTGCTCAACGATCTTGCCCTTGATGCATGGGTCACACAGCATGTATATCTTCTGCTGTGTGAGGTTGAAGGCGGGCCTCAAGTCCATCTTGCAGCCTTTTCACCAGCATGTATACTGCTGGGACCATGTTTGCACGTCCTGCATCTGAGTCCAGAAATGAGGCTGAGTCCTCGCAAGCCATTTAGATCATGGGGATGACCAGAATCAGACTTGATGTGTCAGATGAGAACATCTCTGTGCAGCTTTTAAAGGGCCTAAGAACTTCCAGTCTAAGAGATGGTGAACCACTCTTCCTGGGTGAACCAGCTCTCTTCCCAAATTACCCCAGTCTCATAAATCAGGTACATCAGGGCTCTCTTCTATTCATCCAAGTGCTTGAGCAGGGCTCAGGTGCAGTTCCAGTGAGTTTTCATGTCACCGATCAGGCAGTGCACCAGCACACCTATCAGTGTCTGCTTCTCACATAGCAGATGGGTGTCCTTCACACTGCAAGAGAAGTGACCTGTGATATGCTGGCATTTCTGGAGGATATGCCTGAACTTATGGGCCTCAGTATCCGAACTGGTATTGTCTGCAATGCATCCTTAGTCACCAGATAAAGAAGGTGGGCCAATGCCTATGCCACTGCTGTCATGTTCATGCCACCATTGGTCACCATGAAGCCTATGGAGAGGTCCTTGCCTATCCATGCCACTAATTTTTTTACAATGTCACTGAGTTGCCACCAAGTGCTCAGTCAGCGACAGATGCGTGTTGTGCACCTGATGAGAAGTCCAGATGTCGGACGTAAAGTGCACAGTTCTCCCACAAGTGCAGGACAACTGTGTCTTCATGTGGTCCCTGACAGTCCTGTACAATGAGGGCAACATGGCCCTGTTCAGTATGATGCAAGCAGGGGGCATGAACTAGGGATCGGCATCCTGGAGCAGCATGCTGAAAGCAGCATCTTCGACCATGGAGAAGGGAGCAGCTATCTACAGCAACTATTTGTGCAATGAGGCGAGTGACCCTCCTACTTATCTGCTGTCTCATTGCTGATTGACAGCTACTGGCATGGTATAAATATGGCTTGTATTAGCCTTTCTAACAACATGCCTGGTGATGCTTCTTCAGATAGTTCTGCAATCCAGTAGTCGAGAGGTGATTGAGGTCTCTCCCTCAACTGGTCAAGACCTTCCACAGCTGGCACTGTGTGAAGCGAAGATCCTCTGTCAGTTAGTCTCGGCCAGGGGTGGCCAAACTGTGGCTCGGGAGCCACATGCGGCTCTTTCACACATACTGTGTGGCTCCTGGCAGGGCAGCTGGGGAAGCGAAGTGGAGGCATGCCCCCCCAATCGGTCTTCCCCTTCCCAGTCAGCTCCCCTTCCTGGGTAGGTTTGAGGCAGGGGGGAGCAGAGAAAGAAAGCAACTTTAACTTTAAATGCATTCTCAAACACACCGGCCTACAAATAACATTGGACAAATAAATATCATCATCAATATCTATTTTTACTCCTTTTATTTTTATTTTTGGCAGTCTCATTTAATGTTAATAAAAAGCAAATTTGCATATTTTCAATAAAAACATATGTGTAATATTTGTTCATGTCATACGGCTCTTAGACATCTGACATTTATTCTATGTGGCTCTTACGTTTAGCAAGTTTGGCCACTCCTGGTCTAGGCTGTTATACCACTGTTTTGAAGACACACATAACCTTGCCTCTTTTAATATCTTCCGAGTACTGGCCTAGTTAAGTGTTTATAAGTTTAAACCATTCTTAAAACAGACCCTTATTACTAAAAGCTTATTTAGCAGCACCTAAGTATTGTACTCAATAGTCCTAAATTGAAACCAGAAGCACATACTTGGAACACAAGTGAATCTCAACACCCCCCTCCCCCTAAAAACCAACCTTCTAGAAATCAAGGGGAAGAAATATGGAGGGGGGGGGAGGCTGCTGGGGGGAAAGACAGGAAAAAGGATCAAAAGCCCTTACACACACACATACCAGACCAAAAAGAAAAGGGGAGAGAAAGCAGAAAAAACAAGCAACAAAGCCTCACCCCCAACTCCCGAAAAAAGAGAAAAAGAAGAAAAGAAGCAAAGGATGGTGAGGGGGGGGGGAGAGAGAATTCAATTAAAATAATAGGTTTTTAAAAACCAAGCAGAAACCTCCCACACACATACACACAAGCCTCAGAAAGGACCAAAAATGAATAAGTTAACCAAGTTTTAGATTAACTACAAAGAACCAAAGCAGAAGGAAGGAACCCTTGGCCTCCCCACCTACTACCAGGCCCAAACAGCAACAAACTCCACAAAAAATTACTGCAGGCTACAAAACCAGAAGGGACTAAAATCTAAGAATAAAACCAAAGACTAAAAAAAAAACCAAAGAGAACCCAAAAAAGGCCCGAGACCCTTGGCCCCCCCCCCCCCCCCACACACACACAACCACCAGGCCCAAACAATTACCAAAAAATTCCAAACTGCAAGCCACAAAACTAGAAGGAACTAAAACCTAATTTTATTTATTTATTTATTAGTTCGGTTTATACCCCGCCCTTCTCGCCAAGGCGGGCTCAGGGCAGCTTACATAAAATACATATATAAATACAATTAAAAACATACATAAAATATCCATAAACAATCAGTATCCATTTTCAAAAGTGCTGGAAACAATTAAACTGCAGAGCAGAGAGTCCTAAATCCAACCGTACCACTATTTAGGTGATAGTCCTGGTGGTATTCTCAGATCGGCTCAATTTGATTGAGTAATTTATGCGGCAAGATAGACCGAAGGAGGTAAAACTAGGGCACAGGGTCACTCCTCGGTGTTTAAGGCAGGTCCTAATCGAAAGCCTGGTGGAAGAGCTCCGTCTTACAGGCCCTGCGGAACTGTAAAAGGTCCCGCAGGGCTCTGATCTCCTCTGGTAGCTCATTCCACCAGTACAGAGCCACCACTGAGAAGGCCCTGGCCCTGGTTATCACCAATCTAGCATCTTTGGGGCCTGGGAGGGCCAGTCAGTTTTGGCCCCCTGAGCGCAGTGCTCTCTGGGGAACATAAGGGGAAAGGCAGTCCCTCTAGTATGCTGGAACCTGACCATAAAGGGCTTTTAAGGTCAAAACCAGCACCTTGAAGCGAATCCAGTATGCTACTGGCAGCCAGTGCAATGCTTTCAGCACAGGCTGGATGTGCTCCCGCATAGAAAGACCCATCAACAGCCTGGCCACAGCATTTTGCACCAGCTGCAGCTTCCAGATTTGGGACAAGGGCAGCCCCATGTGAAGAGCATTACAGTAGTCTAATCTCGAGGTGACCATCGCGTGGATCATTGTTGCCAAGTCGTTGCATTCGAGGAAGGGAATCAACTGCCTGATTAGCCAAAGATGGTAAAAGGCTGACTTGGCAGTGGCTGCTACCTGGGCCTCCATTGTTAAAGAGGCATCCAGGAGCAGTCCCAGATGCCTAACCTCTGACGCTGGCACCAACTGTGCCCCATTGAAGGTCGGGAGTGAGATCCCTACCCTCAGGCTACCCCAGCTCAGGCACAGGACCTCCATCATCAGATTCAGTTTCAGTCAACTCAGTTTAAGCCAACCAGCCACAGCTTGTAATGCATGGTCCAGATCCTCCGGTGTAGAGTCAGACTGGCCGTCCAACAGCAGAGAGACCTGGGTGTCATCCGCATGTTGGTGACACCTCAGCCCATGCCTCCAGGCAATCTGGGCAAGTGGGCACATATAGATGTTGAATAACATCGGGGAATGTACCACCCCTTGAGGCACGCCACGTCAGTGGATGCTTTCGGGACAGCTGTTTCTCTAGTGCCACCCTTTGTCCCCAACCCTGAAGGAAGGATGCGAGCCATTGCAAGGCAAGCCCCTGAACTCCAGAGTTGGGGAAGCAGTGGATCAGTAGCTGATGGTCAACCGTGTCGAACGCTGCCAACAGGTCCAACAACAACAGCACCGCCTTGATCCAGATGCCTCCTGAGGTTATCCTTGAGGGTGACCATTGCTGTCTCCGTCCTGTGTCTTGGGTGAAAACCGGACTGGAAGGGGTCTAGAGTGGAAGTATCATCCAAAAAGCTCTGTAACTGGACTGCCACAACCCTCTCTATTAACTCTATTAATAGGGCAAGTTAAAAACCAGCCGGTAGTTAGCCAATTCGGCCGGATCCAAAGATGTTTTTTTTCAAGAGGGGATTAAACATGGCCTCCTTGAGTGTTCCAGGGAAGTGACCCTCCAAGGGGGATTTGTTGATAATCTTCCCTAGGGCACCTCAAAACCCAGCGCGACCAGCTTTCACTAGCCACGATGGGCATGGATCAAGGAGACATGTGGTGGGGCATACAGTTAAGAGCTATTTGTCAACTTCTTCTAGGCTGAGTGGACTGAAATGATCCATAACCTGACTTGAAGATGTACATGGAGCCTCGAGTTCGCTCACTGTCTCAACTTTGATGGGGAGGTCACAGCAGGGCAACAAGACTATATCTGTGAAGTAGTTCGCAAAGGCCTCACAGCCAATATCCAATCCCCTGATGTTTGACCTGTCTTGTGGCAGAGTCATCATGGACTGAATCATTCTAAACAATTGGGCTGGGTGTGAGCTCACAAACGCAATCAAAGCTGTGTAGTGCTCTTTCTTCGCAGCTTTGACTGCCATTCCATAGGCTCTCTTAAATGTCCTATAAGATGTCTCTCTAGCCGTCTTAGCCTTCGCTTCATCAGCCATAACTCCTGGGTGTACCAAGGTGTGAGCTTAGAGTGAGGGCACAGAGGGCGTTGAGGAGCGAAATCGTCGATGGCTGCAGAAAGTCTGCTATGCCAGTCTTCTACAAGCTCATCTAACGAGTCACCGGGGGCATCAGATCCCATAGAACCATCTGGAGCTGCACTGGGTCCATTTCGCTCCACGGGCAAGCTAAAATACACTTGTCACCCAAACAGGGTCAGGGTTAAACATTCAGAAAGGCCCTCAGGACAAGGTGGTCTGACCATGGCACTGCCTGGGCAGTGATCCAGTCCACCGTAACCCCTGCCGCAAAGATCAGATTGAGTGTGTGACCAGCCCAGTGGGTAGGGGTTGTTACATATTGGGAGAGTCCCAGTGCTGCCATGGATGACACTAGGTCTGCTGCCTGAGTGGAGGTCACGTCATCAGCATGGACACTGAAATCCCCCAGAACTATCAGTCTGGGGTGTTCCAATGCCTAGCCCAACACAGCCTCCATCAGGGATTGCAGGCTATTGGCCGGTGCATTGGGCGGTTGGTACACCAGCCAAATCACCAAAATCTCTTCCGCTTCCCACACTAGACCGGCACACTCTATGCCTGCGATCTTAGGCAGTGGGAGCACTCTGAAGGAGTAAGCCTCCCGAATGAATAGAGCCACTCCTTCCCCTTGCCCCCTAGTCTCCGATTGGTGGAGGACTGAGAACCTGGGGGGGAGCCAACTGGGAGAGAGCTACTGTCTCTCCTTCTCTACACGCCAGGTCTTCTTTCTGCTCAAGTAGGAAGTCCCAGAGGACCATGGTCAAACAACACCGAAGCAAACAAAAAAAAAAACCCTCTGAGGCCCTTGGCCTCACTCCCCCCATGACCTACCACCCACCAAGCCCAAAGAACAGCTAACAGTAAAATAAGAAAACTTTTTAAAAAATGTTGATTAGTCAAACCAGTCACTGTCTTGACTCTTCTCCAGGCAGGCAGGATCTGGTCTGGAGACCACAGTAGAGTCTCTCAGGCAGCAGAAGTCAAGTTCAGAGCAGTAGCTGAAGCAAAAGCCAGAGCACACTCTCCAAACTGCTCTCAGCAGTGGAGTCTAGCTCAGCCAGACCCTTGCTCTTATGCTCTTTGCCCATGCACAGAAGCATTTCAAAAAAGAACAACTGCTGTGATTGGCTAAAGAACAGTGTTCCCCATAAGCTGAAATCCTAGTTGCCAAATTGCCACTGCTCCTTCCCCCCTCCCTCCTGTTCCCTGGGAAATGGGTGGGGAAAGCAAGATAGTTACTTAGTTCGACTTCACATTTGAAACCAACAATCTTGCAAGTTGCCAACCTGGAATGCAATGCCATTTGCAAGAACATTGCAATGATTGGCTCTAAGACACTACAGTTCCCCCTACTGTGCTTTTCCCCCTCCCTCCTTTTGTCCTGGAAACCAGAGCACGGGAAAGAGCCATAGAGGAGAGAACTGAAAGTTAACTTTGTAGCCCTTTAAACCTCTCCACCAGTAGCTATTCAGTATAGCCAAATATACACCAAAAAAGTCAAGAAAAGGGGGGGGGGAAGCTTCATTCAGGATCACTGGTAGCTCATCAGATTTTCTGATCTGTATTTGGCTTTAGAATATCTGAAAAATAATGGTAAGGTCTTTTTCGGGTATTTTTTTCAGCTCCGATACAGCCAAATGTATACCCCTAATACTAAATAAATAAATCTACTATCCTTGATATCAGTGGCCTGAATTTGAAGCCTGGCAATCAGGATACCCAGCCCTCTTGACCGAGTAGAGGTCCTGGCTCCTGAGCACAGGATTGCAAGAGTTTATAAGACACTTCCCTTTTCCTTTCCATACCTCAAGAGGGCTCTGAGGTCTAAGAACATGTTCCAGAGTTGTGGTACACATATACTGAGTCTAGAAATGTGTATGCTGCCCCTATGTGTGGTCAAATGCAACACTTGAAAAAAGCTATCATTAGTAGCATTTTACATTTTATCAGAATTGTACTAAAAAGACTCAGAAAATGCATGGACACTATTTCTTCTGGCAATTTAATAAATAATATTGTTGCATTGGGAGCAATGCTGGCCTTTAACCATGATGGCATACGTTGATTACTTTTTAATAGAATGTGTGTTTTAAATTAGAGTTTATGTTGTTGGATTTTTTCAGGGATCACAACGGTTCTCACAATGACAACCATCAACACCCATCTACGAGAGACACTGCCTAAAATTCCCTATGTGAAAGCTATTGACATGTATCTAATGGGATGCTTTGTCTTCGTCTTCATGGCCCTGCTGGAGTATGCCTTGGTCAACTACATATTCTTTGGCAGGGGGCCACAGCGTCAGAAAAAAGCAGCAGAAAGAGCTGCCAGTGCAAACAATGAGAAGTTACGGATGGATGTCAATAAGGTAAATTGAAATGGGTTGTATTACAGTTGTATTGTTAAAGTTTTAGCATGCAACTCCTGTTCAGAGATCCTGTGAGTCTACCTTGCCTTGAAACATCGTCTTTCCAGATGACTTTTTTAAAAAGCAGCTTTTGTTCTCAGGGCTATTCTTGACCTAGCCCTAGATTAACCTTAGGCTTATCGCAGAAGGAATAGTCTTGCTTGGGAAAGAGGAGATAATCGTGTAAATTAAGAGTAGTAAACGTTTATTCCAGGACGTGGACTACAAAAGTCTTCAAAGAAAGAAAGAAATTAAAACGTTGTTTTAAACCGAGACAAAAGTTGGGGCTTTGCAGCAGGGGCTGATTTTGCTAGTATTAATTTTTCCCTTGTTTTTGGTCTGTTCAGGTACTCCCCCAAATGACAGTAAAGTTAATAAATTGGTCAAAAATGAAGCAAGGGGGTCACTTCCTAGTGAGTCCCCTGACCCTTTTGCAATTAGATTCTTTGGTGCATTTTCATTCGCAAATGAATGCACTTGCTAGAAGTAAAACTACCTTTTCCTGGTGACACAATATTTTCATGCAGGGTGGTGGGGGGACTAAAGGTGCTTGGATCCTGAATAATGATTGCACACTCTTTGCACCAAAAAGAATCATCTGGAAAGGCCTTTTGGTGCCTCAGCCATCCTCCATACTTTAGCTGGGATCATCTCCTTTGAAGCTTTATTTTCTTCTCTAAAGTTTAATGGGTATTTAAACTGTTCCTTAGAAGAACAATCCAAAATGATGGCTAAAATATGAAGAGCTGGAGAGCTGTATGAAACTTTATGACAGAACCAAAATGGCCTGATCTTTATATCGCTTGGAAGATGCCAATGAGCCTGAATTAAAATATGATTTCCGTTTCACTGAAATACAATATACTTTTTGTAAATATACGTTTTGTAAAATTTTGTAATATTTATTTTGTAAGATTATATATAAGTAAAACATGGAAGAATTTTTGCAACATACATTTGAGGGGGGGAAATGCAAATTTCTTGTGAACATTTTCAGAAAGTATGACATTTATAGAAATTGAAGAATTGTGATCCAAAATAAGGTTGGTTCATACAGCTCTGGCCTAGAATTTTTCATTGCCCTACAGTTGCCACAGCTTATTATACTAATGGTATATAGTAATTTTAATCATCTCCAGGTTGTAAATAAGCTAAAGCAAACCAGGCAGAGACAGGATAGGCAGTTGGCACCACTGTCACACTTGCCTTATTGTACTTCTGTTCATATTTAAACCAGTCTATGTAGAACCTGCATGCATAGACACAAAGGAAATTATATTTACAGGTATTTACTGATTTTAGTTGAAGTACAATGCTGTTTTTGTTAGTGATTTTTTAAAGAATGAATGAATAAACAGAGTGTATCCAAAAAGAAGACATGAAAAAATTAGATATACAGCCTAACTCTAACCATGTTTTCTCAGAACTAAATCCCACTGATTTCAGTGTTTACTTCCAAGTAAGCTTGCTTGAGGTTGCAGCCTTAAGCTGGATGTGACTCTTTTGGAGGAATTTCAAGCTGAATATGCATGCTGAGCTGTTGATACAGCTATATATACTCTGGAAGTCTGAATTCTAGTACATATTGTTTATTTCAATAAAAGCTCCTGGGATCAGTCAAAAGCATTTTGTAGTGTCTGAAGATCTGTGATCATATATTCCAATGTCCTTTATTTCATTTAAAAGCACCCATAGACTCTTTGTGTCTGAGTGTGTGTGTGAGTGACTGACAGAGAGAAGACGTGATGGTGGTAGAGGGGAGAACTGTAGCTGCACTGCTGGAGCACTGGGTATTTATCCCTTTCTCCTGTGTGTTTCTTGTTTTCTCCCACTGGAGCAGCTATTAGTCCAATAAGGAAAAAGAGATGGGCAGCTATTTTGGCAGACTACTTCAGTTGTAATTTTATCTATGCAGTTAGTCCTATAATATACAGAGCCCATTTCCTGCCGGAGCGCACCGGAGCAACACTCCGGTAGTAAGGAGCCCAGGGGGCAGGCACATGCAGCAAGCCCTGCCCCCTGCTCCCAGCAGCCCTCCTGCCTTTCCCAGCCTACTGGCTAACCCGGCAGAGCGCTGCCTCTTCTTGTCGCCGCCACCACTGTGAGAGACGAAAAAGTAAGTGGAGAGGAGAGGAGGCAGTCTGCTCCGGGTTGGGTGTGGGTGGCAGAGCTTGTTTTGCAGGGGAGGGGCTCAGGTCACCTGCTGCCTTCCTAAGCCAACCAGGGAATTTTTCCCCAGCCGGCCTAGGGAGGCCATAGGCAGCCAAGCCGGTCAGGGGTGGATGGTAAGGGTTATTTTGTTTTAAAGATCTATGGACAGGAGGGAGAACAGTGCTGCCAGGCCAAGCTGGGTGAGCCCTCCCTCTCTGGAATAGGGGCATCCCCGTCCCCATGGCACTGGCGGCAAGAGGCCAAGAGAGAGCCTTGACGCCATGCTTGTTTTAAAGAGCAACGAGGGGGGGAGAACAGTGCTGCCGGGCCAGGCTGGGAGAGCCCTCCCTCCTACATAGGATCATTCCCCCCCATCCCGATGGCGCTGGGGAAAGACGCTGAGGGAGAGCCTTGTCACCGTGCTAACGAGCCACGTGCTGTTTGTTTATATGAGGAAGAAAAGTGCTGCTGAGCCAGGCTGGGTGAGCCCTCCTTCCCTTCCTTTCATAGTCTCCACCGCCCTGGCCCCCTCTCCTTTCCCTCAAAGAAGCATATTTGTGGTGGGTTGCAGCAGCACCAGAGGGGAAAGCCTCCCTGACCCAGACGGGGGGAGCTCCAGAGAGGATTTCTCCCCCATGGACCGTGCATGCGGGTGGCATCTTTGCATGGGCAGGTGCCAGAGGACAAGTTTCGACAGGGGAAGGTCCCCATCAGGGGGGCTGAGTGGTGGGACCAGCTGCTGGGGGAGGGAGGGGCTCTCCTTTTCGGCAGGGCTATGACCACGACCACGCCGCCCAGCTCCCAGGTGCTGCTGCAGCTTGCACCCTCTTACCAGCGGTAGGGCGTAGAGGGCCAGAACATCCTAGGGGGCTGGAGGGCGGGCTGGGCTCCCCCCCCCCTGGGCAGCAGCGCGCAGCTCCTGCTCCGGGTCAGAGTGGAAATGGTGCTGGATGCGGGTGCGTGGCTGGCACCACAGGTGCTTGGGCGCCTTGGCCATGCCAGCTCTGTGCCAGCTCCGCTGCTCCTGCTCCCGTTCCATGGGCACTGTGTGGAGCCGGCCGGCCAGCACTGGAGAAGGCGCCACCTGTGGCAAGCAGCCCTCCCTCCCCCCTCCCTTGCCACACAGCTGCCCAGCTGCTGGCAGCACCCACTTATATAACATGCTGCTGTGACCACCCGACCACCCACCGCTGTGCACCATCCGGAGCAACCCCCTGCCCCAGCCCAAAGCTGCTGCCACCTCCGTCCTCCTCAGGCTAGCCCCTATCTCAAACCCTTTCCCGGCAGGTGAGACTCAGCCTGGGTGGCAAGCCGCAAAGAAAGCCCCTCTGCCCACCAGTCACTCCATGGAACAGCCCGCCACAAGAGCCCACCCGGACCGCTGGCACCTAGGGGCCCTTCCCAAGGGAAATCCCATTGGTAGGAGCCGGGGGGCCTATTCAGACTATGCCTGGGCTACTGCCCCCAGGGCCTGTGGGTGGGGCCTGAGCCAGAGACCCCTCCTGTGCTCCCCATGTGGGGGCTTTCAGCCCCTGCCCAGATGAGGAGGGGGCAGTTCCATGTCCTTCCCAAGGGGCTTGGGACAAAGTTGGTGGCCACCACTTCCAGCAGCAGTTCTGACAATGCGCAACCTGGACAGCAACCTGAGGCTAAAACTTCTGGTTCAGGCCCTGCCCAGAATCTCACTCTGAACATTCCAGGAGCCAAACTGCAACTCCCCATACAGGGTGACTGGATTGCACCCACAAGCTCTGTGCCTTCAAACACTAGCTGTATTCCTACAAAGCAGCTTTACAACCTTTTATGCCACTCGCTATATTCTCACCAAATTCCACAACAGTGGGTTCACTCAATTCAGGACAAAATTGTTAGACATGTTAGCACATAAGAACATAAGAGAAGCAAAGAGCCTGAACTTCTTTAACCTTTCTTCATAGGCTGAGTTCTCTCTATTCCTTCAGACCAATAAGGCTACTGACCTGAATCTACTTTCTTCATAGGGAAAGTGTTCCATCCCCTTAATCGTGTTGGTTCCCTTTTTATGCACCTTCTCTTTTTGTGTTTTTGCATTTTTGTATGTGCATGTGTGTGTGCCCATAACTGGAAGTCATGGTGACCGCTGGCAACTCCTACTGGGGCACGGAAGACATTCAGAGAAGGGGCCTGATGGCATTCTCTGAAGGTCTCCCATCCAAATACTTGCCAGGCTCAGCCTGTACACAGTATTCCAAATAAGGCCGTATCATAGATTTATACAGGGGCATTATGATACTGCATGATTTGTTTTCAGTCCCCTTCCTAATAATCCCCAGCATAGCATTGGCCTGCCGTCGCACACATTGAGTCAACATCTTTAATGAGTTATCTACCACAGCTCTAAGACTGAGTAGCTCCAAGTCTACATGACCCATGATGAAGCATGGCCCAAAGTGCAAGAAGCATGTGCAAGGTGCAGACTGTCATCCCAAACACATGGAACTCACTGCCACAAGATGGCATCTAGCTTAAATGATGAGCTAAACAAACTCATGTTAAATAAACTCCTTTGTGTGTCTCTTAGATGTGATGGTAGGAGAAAATGCCGTCAAGTTGCAGCCAACTTGTGGTGACCCCTCATGGGGTTTCCAAGGCAAGAGATGTTCAGAGGTGGCTTGCCAATGCCTGCCTTTGTGTAGTGACCCTGGACTTCTGCGGTGGTCTCCCACCCAAGTACCAACCAAGGCTGACCCTACTTGGCTTCTGAGATCTGACAAGATCAGGCTAACCCAGTCTCTGTATTCCAGGGAAGGATCATGGGAACAGCTGATGGA